AAAAAAAAAAAAAAATATATATATATATATATATCTCCTATATATAATGACAAAACTGACTTAAAAAGAACTAGAAAATGCTAAAAAAAATATATCTCCAAAGAAAACTCTAGATCTAGATAAGCATTTCACATGTTATCTATTCAATATTTTACACTGCCTAGAAAAGGAAGAAAAATTTTTTAATTCAACTATGAAATCTGGCACTAAAAAATTAGGAAAAACAGTACAAATGAAGAAAAATAGAAACTAACCTCTTAATTATAGATGCAAAAATAGCAACTGTAATGTGAGCAAATAAAATTATGCAGTACATTAAAACAAGACTAGACCATGACTAATCAAGGTTTATTTCGTCAATTCACTTTTAAAACAAACCCGATAAGGCATGCTGCAAAATAAAATGTAAATTCTCATAGAAACTTTTTTAATAGACTATTTTTAAATGATAAATAATATCTTAAATCAATAACCAATAGAATATTTAATGTGAAAAATTAAAAACAATCCTACAAATTAAAAACTAGGCCAAAATATCAGCTATTACCTCTACTGCTTAATATTATTCTTGATATTCTGGACAATGTATTGGGGGGTTGGGAAAAAGACACAGAACTACGAAAGAAGAGGAAAAAAACATTATCAGGTAAAATATGACTAGACTTAGTAAGTTTGATAAGGAGAGAAGCTACAAAATAAACTAGGATAATAAATTAGCAAAATTCACCACCATCCTAAATGCAGTAACAAAAAGAAAATAGACTATCTCATTCATAAGAGTAAGCAAAAACGTCAAATATTATGAGGAAAAGGTCACAGGAAATGTACAGAATTTGTATTTTCAAAAACGGAACATTAAAGGACATGAACTAATTGAAAATTATTTTTAATGGAGATAGTTAATACTATAATAATGTTAGTTCACTGTTAAGTTTTATATAACAGTGATAGAACCTTTTAAAAAATCATCTTGGGATTTTAATTGAATAACTTGATAAAATAAATCTAACACAAACTTTAGAGAAGTAAGAAAATAACTTAAAGAAAAAATACGAATGTGGTCTTGCAACTCTTATTTTTGAAATATACTTTGAAATTACAGTGATTAATATAACATAGTACTAATAAAAAATTAGAGAGAAAAACCAATGGAACAGAACCAAAATCTGAGAAATAGTTTCCAAATACGCAATCAGAGTGTAATAAAAGATGCTATTTCATGTCAAAGGAGATAAGATGGATTACTTAATAAATAGCACAGATACTCAGTTAACTGCTTGAGAAAAAAATTAAGCTATATCTCTAGCTGACATTATACATCAAAATATATTTAAGAGAAGTTAAAGAGTTAAAGGTATAAAAATACAGCCAACTAATTGGAAAAAAATGTTAACAGAATATTATTTAACCTCAGGATAAAAAAGCCTTTCTAAACCAAGTCCCAACAGAAATAAGCATTTAAAACGGAATGGAAAGACTGACAAACCACAAAATAAAGCAAATGACAAAATGCAATATATATGGCAAATGAAGTTTAATACTACTAAAATATTCACAAGCTGTTAGTCAACAGAACTGAACAAGTCCTATAAAAGAAAACAGGCAACCAGGATAAACATGCAGTTTGCAAAGGAAGAGACATTTAATAGCAAATACTTTTTTTTTTTTTTGAGACAGAGTCTCACTATGTCGCTCTTGGTAGAGTGCCATGGCACCACAACTCACAGCAACCTCAAACTCTAGGGCTCATGTGATTCTCTTGCCACAGCCTCCCATGTAACTGGGACTACAGGCCACCACAATGCCAGCTATTTTTTGTTGTAGTTGTCATTGTTGTTTAGCAGGCCTGGGCCAGGTTTGAACCAGCCAGCCCAGGTGTATATGGCCGGTGCCCCAACCACTGAGTACAGGCACCAAGCCAACAGCAAATAAATTTATGTATCATTCTTACTAATAATCAAAGAAATTAAAATTAAATCAGCAACGATATGTTGTTTTATACCTAATAAAACTGGTAAGAAATTTTTGAAGTACTAATATTTGTTATTGAGAGAGAGAGAATAAGCACTTGTAGATACTGCTGGTAAAATTACAAAACCATACTCTTCCTGAAGGATAACTACAAAATAAATCCAAAGCCTTTTTTAAAAGAACATATTCTTGGACCCAGGAATTTCATCTTTAAGAATATGTCCTAAGGAAAGCACCGCCAATAAGGTGAAAAGTCTTAATAAGAGCTTACCCATGCTCAAGGTGCTCTTTATACTGAGGAACAATAACAACTTGAAAGTTGAATAAGAGGCTCAGTTAAATTATGAAAACCTCACTTTATGAAACATTTTCTGTCAACATAAATAATATTTTAGGAAATGACCTACTCACAAGGAAATCCATACTATATCATTAAGTGGAGAAAACAGATTACAAAAACATAGTTAAAGCAATGATCCTGATTTTATGGAAAAAATTTAACATATGTAGATAAGTTGAAATTGAAAGTCTATATAATAAGAACGCAGGTAGAATTAGAGAATAGTGTATTTTCTTTTGTGTGTTTTTTCTATGTTTTTTACAAATAAATGTTTATCAAATTTATAATCTGAAAAAATAAGAACTATTAAAAACATACAATGAAGAATAAACATAAATTAAATACTGGTAACCCACAATACTGTGGGTTCCTTAAAGATGTAATTTAGATCATTTTAAAATTTCAGAAAAATGAAAAGTAATTTAGGTAGGTAATAATTGACCTGGTATCCACCAGAAAAAAAAAATGTATGTTGAATTTTGGTAGTGGTTGTATCAAACTATTTAAATCAGGGGTATCCAACCTTTTTTTTTTCTCTGCTGTACATTGGAAAAATAGGAGTTGTCTTGGGTCACACAATAAATAAATATACAAACACTAATGAAAGCTGACTAGCAAAAAAAAAAAAAAAAAAGTCCCTGCATACTTTTCCTGATATCCAACATCACAGATAAGCAAAAAAAGTCCTTACAAAATTAGGACTTGGGCCTGCATCCACAGGTTGGACACCCCTAATTTAAATACCATTTTAACTAAATCTTTTGCTTTTAAATTAACATGTTAATGCTATATTTTCTCTACAATGCACGTGGCAATAAAATATTGGGATGTAAGGAGAGACAATTCAGAATAAATCAAAATACATATAGTAAGAATCTTATATCTTATGCTCATAAAACTCAGGATAACACATAAATGACAATTCACATATCATAAAGAATCCAGGGGAAAAAGCAAAATAATTTGATAAGCTTAATTTTACATATGATTTGCTTTTCAGATTTAAACATTTTAAGTATCTAAGACTAGTACTTTTTTTGGATTTAAAATTTATAATTTGAATTAAATATAAAGAAAGATGGAAAGTAGGGGGCTAATATCCTGAAAGATGAAAACTTGATGTTGAATCATAACATAATAAAATGTTAGCTTTCACATTACTAACAGAAAGAAAGACCCCCAACATTCATGCTGGCAAAAGCTTGCCTTTGCATAAACCATTTCTGTTCTCACTGTTACAAAACCAATGACTTTGGAAAGGAAAAAAACAAAATGACGTGCAAAGTAGCAAATCCCATGTTATTGCAGCTGGATAGAGAATATGTCACTAATGACTCTCTACGCATCAGTTATAAGTTGAGTTTCTTTTTTTTCCAAAATAGCAAATGGCCTTTATGAGTATAAAACAGAAACAGGGAAACTCAAAATAATATCCAATTTCCATTTGATTTTGACGCTGTCTTAGTTAATAGAATGAGTTATCATTTATTAAGAAAGGATGACCTCCTTTTCTCTTCATTTGAGTTGAACATAACACACCTTACCTCTAGACAATTTTCTATAATAAATTCAAAATACCTTTTATATCAGATAATTATTATCAAATATTCATCTTAACTGAGATATTATCCACAACCAATGGGAAGGTTTACCTAAAGTTGTTCAATAAATTCATAAAACTAATGCTATTAAGTTCCCAAATTATTAGTGCCTATCATAGTGATGACTGTCTGTAAGGGATGACTAGTAGAATTAATGAATGATCATGGATTCAACTTATGATGCAAAAGAAACTAGTAAAACAGTCCGTTAACCATAAATGAATCAATGAGAGTTTGGTTAGGGAATAAGTATAGCTCTTCACTGACAGGCTAACTTAATACTAGAATGGACTGAGATTGTCCACTTCTTAACATGTTAAAAAATAATAACAACAGTCATATATATTCAAAAATAAAGATTCTCACCCTCATCTGAGTCAGAAATCAAGAAATGCTAAATCCCATGAAATCTGTTTTGAGATTATCAACATATGACCCCCTTAGCGTATTAATAATGGCAAGTACTACAACTTAACACTCATGAATACCTTGAATGCTAGATACTTTTCAAAGAGCTTTACATGTATTATATTAACTTTCTTCATGAGCCTGTGAAATAAGTACTATTACTACCCTCATTTTAGAAATGAGGAATATAAAACATAGGAAAGTTCAGTGGCTTGTGCAAAGATCCTTGCAGAGTTAAGATTCAAACCAAGGTCAGAATCCACCCACAAATCATTATATACAACAAATTCTATAAACTCCTTCAGAAGGGATGCAATTAATTTAGATTTATAAATCAAGCTATTATGATTTTAAAAGAAAGAAGTAGGATTATCTTTTGATTTAATCTGCTCATGGTTTGACATAACTTTTTTTCTTTTTCATACTTCTTTGTTAAGCAAATAAATGAGCCAGTATATTTTCTAAGTTATATATTTGTATACTAATACAAAAAGAGGCAAAAATTTCATCCTGTCAACACTACAAAGAATGGAAGTTCAGGGAAACACTAGACATTTATCTTCTCATATATAATCACATGTTAGAGGCAAGAATTTAGTGTTATGGTACAGATCAGCAAATATACTGTTACATAAAACAATATCTGTTCATTGATATGTTTGATATTTTTTATATTGTACCTTTAATTTCTCCAAGAAGTTCACTGGTATTTAATCTTTCCATTTTTTCCTTCCAATCTTTTGAAAGTAGCTTTTCCATGCATGAGGAATCTGTTAAATTACAAAAGTGAGCATTAAAAATATATGTATATTACAAATTCAGAAGGTCATTTTATTAAGAAAATCTCTATTTAAAAATGCACAAAGCTATTTTTCTTGCTTTTTTTTTAACTCTAGGATATAGACAATTACATTTCTCTAATATAAAATACCACAACTAGGTTTATTTTTAACAGAAGATCATTTAAACTACTGTCCAGGGAAATAAAGATAAATTCTCAATAATCTTATTTTAGTATTGTCATTCTAGTAATATTCAATTGGCATTTGTCATTTCTTAGACTATAGGACAGAAAAGGAGGTTCCTCGGTGAGCTTAATTTGAGATATTCCTTTTAACCTAGGTGACTTTTTTAAAGTCCAAAGAAAATTTATGTGCTATGCCAGGAACAATGACGGATCTTCAAGGGAGAAGAGGCCAATCAATCTCTAACCACTTAGTCCTTAAAAAAAGAAACCTGCCTTCTGTAAAATATCCATTTAGGACAAAATGAGAAGAAAATAAACTTAAGATGTTCTCTGTCCCCTGGCAATGAAAACTGCTAAAAGTTGTATATCAAAAAGCAGAGCATGTCTTTATTAAAGAAAATAGCTATTTAAATAACTATTTATTATTTGCCCTACTGCATTTCTAAATAACATTCTAGATTATACACAGTGATTACACTTGTTTTTACAATGATTCATAGAAAGAATTCAAACTTTTAAGTTGTCCTAATAACTGTCAAAAATTTTTCAGTGAGTTATTTTTCTCTCTATGCAGATGGGTTTGCAACTAGTGCTACTGCTTACAACTATTTACTTGTACCTTTTAAACCTCAATCTTAACAAATAGCTCATGTTTCCAAAAGAGAATGCAGATTTAAATACTAAATCCTTAGTGCAAAGCATACTCCTATTAAACTTTAACAACATTCCAGTGTCAGAGTTCTGATAACTTTCTTTTAAAATTATATTTTAAATAGTTACTCCAATTCCAAATGCCTTTCTCTCTCATATCAGTACTTCTCTTTCAAGCATTTTCCCTTTCATATATTCTCCAGCTTCTAAATCCTCCTTGAATTTTTCAGAATGACAGCAAGGTCAAGATGGATCTCAAGGGCTTTAGAAGCTAGATAAGCTTCAGAAAAAGACAGTGAGCCCTGGTTCAGAGATGAGAAGACCACTGCATGGTTAGAAAGTATTGGTGAAAACAATTAACGTTTATCCATGACACAATCAATCAATCAAGATATGGATGGAATCCAGACCCGTGTGTTGTGGAGACCTTTGGCTGATGAAGAACAACCGTACTAGCTGCTATCAGAGAAGCCAAAGTTCTTTCTGAAAAGAAGGCAGCTTCATTTTATTAAGTGAAATATTGCTGCCCCTTCTCTTATTCTTCCCTCCTCCTTTCCTTTCTTCCTGCCTTCCTTTTTTCTTTCTTCCATTCTTTCCTATTATTTTTTTAAGTGATCTACTACTGTGCTTCAAAAATTGGATTCTGCCTGACCTGGAATTCCAATGATATCCACTTGCATATACAAATATTCAGATTGAATTTAATTGCCCAAACGATATATTTTGTTTGATACCTGTTTTGTTTTTATGCTAAAGTCATAAAAAAAGATAATATTAACTTTAGGACTTAAGAAGCAAATCTTCAAAGCCATGTCTGTCAGAGATTACTTTTTCTCAAATCAGGTTTGAATTTCTGAGAGACTGATGCAACATTATATACTAGATAAGAATAACTAAGAAGTCTTGAACTCCATATCCTTCCCAATTTTGTTACATCTTTTAACACTTTTATCCATGTTATATCATTGTACTTAACTTATTATCGATACAAATGCAAAAACACAACTGGTTTAATTTAATTTGAGTTGAGAGCAAATACTAGTATTATAGCCAAGAGAAAAGCCCAACTTATTCGTAATGATCACAAATTCAGAGCAAGCCCATATACTATGAGTAAATAAACACTAGATATAAAACAGGCTAAAATACATTGCTCATTTCTATAAATAGTGCTGAAATCTTTTAGAGCTCCAAGAAAAAAATGCTGAAACTTCATGGAAGAAAAACAGAATTATACAGACAACAGGAATACATACTTCAAACATAAATCAAACTATGTTAACAGAACTTTACATAAAAGTTACTCATTAACAAAATGGTTAATAACTTCAAAGCATTTCACATTCCTATTAGAAATTAATCCTTACTATAATGCTGAATTAATCTAGCAATATGTGTTCCCATTTCAACAGAAGAAACCAGAAGAAAAAATAAAGCAACCTTTGCATGCTTACACTTAAAGTCATGAAAGTATTTAATAATAATCTCTGATTGCCTTTATCTTAGGACAATAAAAGTCACTACATACAACCTTATCAATTTTTAATCTCAATGCTAGAGAGATTCCAGGAAGACTCAAAACTGTGAGAAAAATCTCTCGAAAAAGTCTCTGCTTTCTCTCCTAATTACCTAACTGCTAAACCTCTAAGGGTACAAGTAAGATTAGTGAAAAAGAACAGAAGTATATTGTTACAAAGTTCTGTACAAGCAGAGAACACTATTGGCACTATGGAAAGTTTTCTAGCTTGACATGAGCATACATGTAATAGATACAAAGTTACAAATGAAAATTTGTATTTTCAAATTTTTCACTCAAAAGCATATCCAGGTAAGGACACAAATTAAAAGCAAAAATTCACACACACACCCTTGCTATATCCTTCAACTACATTAATAGGAAACTAGTTTTACAGAGGTAATTTTGATAAAGTCAAACTTCATCTTATTCTGATCCAGCACAAATGCAAAAACCAAAGAAGCAAAAATAAAGGCCAGTTTGCATTACATACATGGAAAAAGTAAGAACATGCTGAGCAGCTTTAACACGGTAGTCATTTGGGACTCCAAAAGGGAAAAAAAAGGAATGAACTTCCTCAAGATATTTGGGAAGGGGGAGAGGGAGGGGAGGGAAGGGGAAAGGATGGGTGGAGGGAGAGTGATTGGTGGGACCACACCTATGATCCATCTTACAAGGGTACGTGTGAATCTTTCTAAATGTAGAATATAAATGTCTTAACACAATAACTAAGAAATTGCCATGAAGGCTATGTTAACCAGTTTGGTGAAAATATTTCAAATTGTATATAAAATTAATCTATTAAGTGTAGAGTATAAATGTCTTAACACAATAATTAAGTAAATGAGATGAGGTATATATTAACCAGTGTGATGTGTTACTAATTCTATATGAAATCAGCACATTGAATCCCATAAATGCATTAATGTATACATGATCTATGTGTATATTATTTAATAAAAAAATCAAACTCTTAAAAAAAATTGTATATAAAACCAGCACACTGTACCCCATGATTGCATTCATGTACACAGCTATGATTTAATAAAAATAAATAAATAAATAAAATCTCAGATGTTACAAACAATTAAAAAGTAATTAATAAATATGTTTTACATAATTAATTTTAAAACAATTAAAACCATTGTAGTTACAAGGGTACCACCATTGTCAAAATAGTAAAACAATATGCAGTAAATTTTGCTATCTGAGTTTGACTATTTAAAGTTTTGTGTACTCAAGAAAAAAATTCAATTTAATTCAAGTTGGGGGGGAGGGAGGGAGGGTAGCAGAGCAAGGAGGGGAGGAAGGGTGATCAATGCGCTCCCAACTAATGGGCACAATGTAAGGGTATATGGCACATCTCCTGGGTGTGGGACACAACTACAACAGGGACCTTACCTAACAAACACAAACATTGTAACCTAATTGTTTGTATCCTCATATTAATCTGAAATTAAAAAATTGTCAACAGAAAAAAAAAGGTGAGTGTATTTGAGCTGTCTTCAACTGAAAATGGAAAAGGAACCAAATGACTTTTGAAAATTGAGACAAGTCTACGGCCATACCACCCTGAATGCACCCAATCTCGTCTGAAAATTGAGACAAAGAATCACAACATTATAGCATAATAAATGTCACAATAATATGTAAATATTTTAAAATGAATGTAAATCATAAAGCTAATGTAGTAAAGAGGAAAATGCATAATTAATTCCTGTCCTGAAATAATTTCTTTCGTTAACCAATATTTATTTAATGAACTAAAGGACCTTATATTTATCTTGTTTAATGTTTATAATAATGCAATTAAAACATTACTATCAAAAATCAATAGCTAGATTTCGGTTCTCTATATTTTAAGCAAGGATATGCAGGAATGTCCAACCTTTTAGTTTCTCTGCCCCACGTTGGAAGAAAAAGAGTTATCTTAGGCCACACATTAAATACTCAAACACTAACAAAAGCTGATGAGCAAAAAAAAAAAAAAATCCATGCATAATTTTCGCGGTACCTGCCAGAACAGATAAGTAAAAAAGTCCTCGTATATCTGCATGTGCCCTGCAGGCTAGGTGGTGGACCCCTATAAATTGTGACTTCACGATAATTAAACAAATAGTTTTTGAATTTTTTCTTTTCTTTTGCAAATGTAAGTCTTTTTCTTTCAAGAACTTCCTCCAAAAGAATAAAGAAATCATAAATTTCAAATGCAATAAATTTTCTATGTATCCAAGAACAATTCAGAACTCTTTTATTTTTTAAATACCCTGCATACTTTCTGCACCATAAGTTCCTAGGTTTCAAGTAAGTAAAAAATGCTTTATGGAGACTCAGTAATATTTTTGCCTACTAATAATTTCTTGATGTAAGAGAAATGCCAAGTGAGATTCTGTGAGGTATTTATTTCCTAATCTATAAGATACTTTAGGAACAATATTAATTACCCCTCGTTAGACAAAGCAATAGCAGTATTAACTGCTATTCTATACATAACAAAGGTCTTTCACATGAATCAGGGAGAGTAAATAAGTCATCATTAAAATAAAAGCAGGAGAAAAAGGAAAAAACGAAAAAAACATTTATTATACTTTAAAACAGTTTACTTGTACCTAAACATTTGTTATTCTTTTTACTTC